CAATTAAAATATTTATATAAAATAAAAATACACCACATACATATCAATACAAATAAAAAATAGTACCTCTGGTTAGTTATTAACACGTCTTCTTTAGAAGATTTGCGTTTTACTGTTAAAAAATAAATAAATTGTTTTTCCAAGAAAAAAAAATCCATTCGCGTCTGTCCTACCAAAAAAACAACCAATAGGATAAATAATTAATGTGTACGCGTCGATCGAATAATAATTCTTTTAAAAAAATGCCAGACGATAGAAATCAAAAAAATAAAGAAGAAAAACAGTCAATCGTGAGGAATATTTTGGGTAAGTGTTTTAAGAATGGTGGTTATCGCCCGCCACTTGTCGTCACTCTAGTTATTATTAAAAGAATGGTGGCATCATGATCGTTGCAACTCATCTTCATTCTATATATATATATATATATATGAGCTTAGAGCTATTCAGTTCCTTATTAATAAATTTTTTAAAAAAATTCTTCAGGTGTTCTTTGGAAGATTTGGTAGAACCAAAACATTTAAACAAACTGTTGAACGATTTAGCAAAATTATTAAATGAACCTGATTTTTATGATGTAGAAGTCAAAGTTGGAGAGGACCAGGATGTTAAAACTTTTAAGGTTCATTCCACCATTTTAAAAGCAAGATCTTCATATTTCAAGGTTGCTTTATCAAATAACTGGACAAAACAATCTGATGATGGTATTATTCTATTTGAAAAAAAAAATATCTCACCAAAAATTTTTGAAGTTCTTTTAATGTAAGTTTTTTTTGGGTTTAAATATTTAAATAATTGAATGATTGACAATCTGTCTTATCTTATCTATTTGTGTTTTTTAAAGATATATTTATAATGGAATAATTAGATAGACAATCTAAATGCTGCTCAAATTGTTGAACTTCTTGAAGCATGTGATGAATTAAACATTGATGAATTGATTAATGACTTACAAGACCATTTGATCAAAGAACAAAAAGAATGGGTTCAACAGAATTTAATTTATGCTCATACAATCTCATCACAACATCAATCGTTCAATTTGCTTCAAGATTATTGTAGTGAAATAATTAGTAAAAATCCTGAATTGTTTTTTAAATCCAATGACATCACAATGATTGAAAAGTCTATGCTTATTACTATGTTAGAAAGAGATGACTTAGAATTAAAAGAAATCGATATTTGGGATATTGTCATTCAATGGGGAAAAAATCAAAATGAAAAATTAAATAAAGAAGTTTCAGAATGGATGAAGGAGGATTTTATCATGCTAAAAAATGAATTAGATGACATTATTCTGTTAATAAGATTTTACAAAATTTCCTCTATTGACTTTTATGATAAAATCAAATCTTATAAAAAAATATTTAATAAAGAAATATATGAAGAACTTCTTCAATACCAGGTTACTGGTAGATGCCAACCAAGATTTATACTTCAAAAAGGTCCAAGATCAAAAACAGCAATAAGAACAGGACAATTATTAAATTCACAAACCAAATACTTAATTTCAAGTTGGATTGATTGCAAAAACAATCTATATAATGAAGATAACACCCCTTACAAATTTGAATTAATTTTTCAGGGCAGTCAAGATGGATTCACTAGATCTGCATTTGAAGATAAATGTTACAACATTAAAGAAACTGCAACAATTTTAAAAATAAAAAAAACAGGTGAATTGATAGGTGGATATAATCCTGTCGGTTGGAATAAAGAGGAAAAATCTTCAAATGATTCATATTATATTGAATCAGACAAAAGCTTTATTTTCAAAATTGGACAAAGTGACACAATATTAAGTAGAGTCCAAAACTCTCAAGAAGCATTTTATCACTACAGTGATGAAATGGCTGAATCAATTTTAAGTTTTGGTGATTTGTTTGTGGGTTATATTACAGAAAGTCATTACTATCATTATTTTTTTAATAATCGTTCTGTTTATATAAATAATTTGAACATTAGAGGTAGTGGTTTGTTGGATGAATTTGAAATTTACAAAATAATAAGGAAAAATTAATATTTTTTATTTTTTAAATAAATCTGTCTTCAAGAAAAAATTTTTTTAACTATAATTACATTTTTAGAATTTATCCAATTAATTCTAAAGTATAGTTGTTTGCCATAATTGCCTCTCTTAATAGATGATTGTCACTGTATCTGTAATGCCATAATTCTGCCATAGTTACCATAATTAATTTTGATAGTTGCCAAAATAATTTCCATAATTATTTGAATTTTTTAAATCAATAGCCATAATTCTGGGTGGTTTTTTTATTTAGATAATATAGAGAATAATGTTGCCATAATATATGGAAAATGCAAAAAAATTATGGCAAACAACTATGTTCCAAAGTAAAAATTAACTCTTCTAATTTTTCTTTTTTCTTGGTAGATTTCATAATTAATCTTTTTTTCCTTAGATAAGTTTCTAGTGTTTGAGTATCATTTATTTTGAAAATGTAAGGAGCAATTTTTTCACCTTGTTCCTTTTTTAGAATACTTCTGATAGTACTATAATTCTTGGGTTCCATAGTAGACCTGATGTAAATGAGTTTCATGTTATTATTTTTGTATAGGGATAGTTCTAAAGATAACAAATGGGATATTACAAAACTGTTAATAATTATAATCACATTATGAAATGACTAAATTTTGATCCCTGAAATCCTTAGTACCAATGTTCACTTTGTCTGGTTTTGTTGCAAGCATGTCCCATATATAAATAATATGCAAACTCAATTGAATTTGATCAGCAAAATTAACCAATCAGACAAACTTCTGCCTATGACACAAACTTTTTGTCCAAGTGTACGTGTAACATTAAAAAATCCGCAGCGATTAATTTTTTAATATTAATATAAAAAAAATGAGTAAAAAAAAAATTTGATAATAAAATAATAATATTAATAAACAAATGTCATCCAGTAAAGTTTTCATTATTAATGCATTAGAAAATATTGGCTCGAGCAAAGAAGGAAAAAGGAATAAAAAGTTAAAAGAGAGTATTAATAAGGCTTTGGGTAATTAAAAGTTCGAGATCGCGTAAAAAATTTATCGCACTTTTATTAAAAGATTTTAACATTTTGCTTTTCAAAAATATTCAAATTTTGTTATTATAATAATTTATCAAGAAACAATAAAAAATGAAGAATCAGATAAGAAAGGGTATGTATATATATTATTTAATATAACAATTATTATAATTATAATTATAATTATAATCATTGACTTTAATGTATTGTTTTAGTGATGCAGTAATAATATTTGAACCACTTCAAATTGCTTGTCAGACAAGAGTAATAAATATTATGATAATAGCTTTAGATTGTATAGGAAAACTTATTTCATACAATTATTTAATTGAATCAAATAATGAAGAATCACCAATTGAAAATGGCGAAGAAGATAATAATAATAGTATTAATAATAGCAATCATCCTAATTCTAGCAACAACAACAACAGTAACAGCAGCAGTAGTAATAGTGATAATGGGCAAGTCAAAGAAAAACAAAATCTTATTGATCTTGTAATAGACACAATATGTGATTGTTTCGTTGGTGAAAATACAGATGATAAAGTTCAATTGCAAATAATCAAGGTTCTTATAATTATTATTCTTAATTAATCAATTAATCAATTAATCAATTAATCAATTTAATCACATTATTAAATAATAAATACTTATTTATCAATTTATTTTTCTTAAAATAATAATAATAAGGCTTTACTTGCTGCTGTCTCCTCAATAGACATCCCAGTTCATCATTCATCACTTCTTAAATCAATTCGTACATCTTACAATATTTTTCTGCTTTCAAAAAATCCTACTAATCAAACGGTAGCACAAGGTACTTTAACCCAAATGGTTAATCAAGTTTTTGGTCGTATAAAAATTGATAAATATGAAATAAATAATAACAATCAAATTAATAACAATAACGGTAGTTTTAGTAGTAATGATCATGGTAATAATAATAATAGCAGCAGTAGTAATAATAGTAGTAAGGGGGATTTGTCATTTTCAGAAAATAAAAAAAATCGTTCATCATCATCGTCTTATAGTGTAAACTCCAAATATAGGTCAAGTAATCCAGAATTAAATATTAAAATAAATATGGATGATGATGATGGTGATGATGACGACGACGAAGATTATGATGAAGGACATGTAAAATTGGAACAGATAGAGCATTCGCAAATAACAGAAAATGGTTCTTCTATCAGAGATGCTAATAACCTTGCAAACGATGGTGATGATGATGATGTTAATAATAATAATAATAATAATAATATTAGTGTTAATAAAAATGATCCAAGAGATGAAATACAAAAGGTCATTACAAGCACTACCGAAATAATATCAACAACATCATCGTTATCAACACCAACTGCAGTAGAATTTGATAATGTAGTAGGAGATACTGAATCAGAGATTGGCCAATGGAAAAATGCTCATAATTCTGTCGATGATCTTGTTAGGGTAGTCCAAGAAGAAATAACCGATGATCCTTCCTCAAACATCACTGATACCTCCGCTACTGCCATCATTAATATCAATGATAATGATAATGATGCTACTGATACCTTAGAAAAGAATTTAACATCGTATGTATCTATTTATCTATTGATTGTATGACTACTAATAAATATTTGTTTCATATATATATTGTTCCCAATAATCATTTTGTTATTACATTAATTAAAATTTCCAAAATGAATAATTTTTAAAAAAAGAAAATCTTCACAAGAAGAATCCCGAATTTCTCAAGTTGCTTATTATAATAACGATAATGATGACAACAATATTGATACCAATAATAACAACAACGATAACCACAATGTTAATAGTAACAGCAACAGTAATAACAATATTCAAGAGGATTTGTTCGTTAAAGATGCATTTCTAGTATTCCGTGCACTTTGCAAATTATCAATGAAACCAGTTCCGCCAGAATCATCAGTAGATCTAAAGTCACATTCTATGAGATCAAAGCTATTGTCATTGCACTTAATTCTAACAATACTAAGTTCGCACATACAAATCTTTACTTCATCAAATGTTCATATTATTTCTACATCTACACATGAAAGTACTATATTCATTCAAGCTGTTAAACAATATTTATGTCTAAGTCTCAGTAGAAATGCTGTTAGTTCTGTACCTCAGGTTTTTGAAATAAGCCTTGAAATATTTTGGAAATGTATAAGTAAATTAAGGAATTATTTAAAGGTATGTAAATGTCTATCTATACGTTGACATACATACATATATATATCTGATATATGTTTTAAGTAAATATCAATACATATTATTTAATTGTCTCTTTTTTTTCTTTTCTTTTTTTTTTTTGTAAATTATAAATCAATTTTTAATTAATATTTATTATTTACATACATAAATATATGCCTACATAAATACATTCACATAAATAGAAAGAGATCGAAGTGTTTTTTAATGAGATTTTTCTACCAATTATAGAAATGAGAAACTCATCTATAAAACAAAAATATGCTTTAATGAATATTCTTTCTAGAATATGCTCTGATCCACAAACACTTGTGGAAATCTATTTAAATTATGATTGCGATCGTGAGGCTGTTCACAATATATATGAACGGTAATGTAAAAAATAAAATAAAATAAATCTCACTTGCGCAAAATTTTAAATTAATTAATAAATAATCATATAGAATTTTAAATATCATATCAAAAATTACAACAACATACACTACCACTACATCTTCGAACAACAACATACCTGATTCTAACAAAGACCGAGATGTCAATTCATCAACACCAGATTCTGTTTCAACATCTAATAACATTTTCAACATTCCTCCTTCACTTACCACAAATTCAATTTCAAACACGACATCTTCATCGCCAAACAATTCAAATAAACCGGCAGAACTCGCATTAAAAAATCAAGGTCTAGAATGTCTTGTATCAGTTTTACGATCACTAGTTGCCTGGTGTAGCAACAAATCAACTAATGATAGTGCCGATGATGAAGAAATACCAAGACAAAGCGAAGACACCATTCAAGAACCACCATCAACTCCAACCTCGCTAACTTTCAACAATAAATCGTCTCCAACTTCTTCAATGATGTCTGTATCCAATTCATCAAATACTTTTTCAGGTGATAGCAAGATAAACTCATCAAAAGCCATGGATGATCCAGAACAATTTGAAAATTTAAAACATCGTAAGCAAGTACTTCAAGATGGTATTAAAAAATTTAATTATAAACCAAAAAGGGTAAGTAATTTTATTATTTACTATTATTTGTCTATTTATTATTAATTAATTAATATTTTTTTTTAATAATTTTATTATATATTAGGGTATTCAATCGCTAAGATCTGCAGGATTTATACTAAGTGATGAACCAGTTGTTGTTGCAAAATTTTTATTGAACACAGAAGGTTTTAACAAGTCAATGATTGGTGAATATTTGGGCGAAGGGTAAAATTTTCAATAATAATAATAATAATAGTTAATAAATACCATAATGTTAATGATGATGATTCTTATCAAATTTATTTAATATTAATTAATTATACAGTGATGAGGAAAATATTGCAATAATGCACGCATTTGTCGATTTAATGAATTTTAAAAAAATGAAATTTGTTGATGCTCTTCGACAATTCTTACAATCGTTTAGATTACCAGGCGAAGCTCAAAAAATTGATCGATTTATGTTAAAATTTGCAGAACGATATGTTGATGGCAATCCTGAACAATTTGCAAACGCAGGTAATGTATTCACGAAATAGTAATAATATCATTATTACTCAAAATAAACTAACAATTTTTATTAAATTCTTGCGATTTACATATATTCATTGGATTTAATAGATACAGCATATGTTCTTGCATATTCTGTTATTATGTTAAATACTGATCTTCATAATCCTCAAATAAAGCGTCGTATGACTAAAATTGAATTTATTAAAAATAATCGTGGAATCGATGATAATTCAGATTTGCCTGATGAATTTCTTAATTCAATATATGATGAAATTTCAAATAATGAAATAAAAATGAAAGACGAGCAAGATGCCGCATTAATGCAACAAACTTCACCGACGCCTTCTAGTGGTATTGGAATCGCAAGTATAGGCAACGCAATTGTAAATGTTGGTAGAGACTATAAAAAAGAAGCGTACAATGCTGCATCACAAGAAATGGCAAATAAAACTGAGGTTTGTCAGAGTCATTTATTATATATATACACACATAATCTTATTTTATTTCAATAATAATAAACGCACACATATATATTATCACTTTTATTTGCAAATAGCAATTATTTAAATCTATGCTTCGTGCTCAAAGACGCGGAATTTACACAGCTAATACCACATTTTACAGCGCGTCACATTTTGAACATGTGAAACCAATGTTTGAGGTTGCGTGGATGCCAGTTCTTGCAGGTTTATCAGGCCCACTTCAAAACACAGAGGATGTGGAAATATCGAATCTTGCGTTGGAAGGATTTAAACTTGCAATTCGTATAGTTTGTCTCTTTGATATGGAACTTGAAAGAAATGCATTCGTAACTACTTTAGCAAAATTTACTTTTTTGAACAATTTGGGTGAAATGAAATCAAAGAATGTTGATGCAATAAAAACTTTACTTGAGGTATCATTAGCTGAAGGAAATTATTTGAAAGGCTCTTGGAGAGATGTGTTGACATGTGTTAGTCAATTAGAAAGATTTCAATTGATCAGTACTGGCGTGGATCAAACTACTGTTCCTGATTTGTTTAATGCTAGGAAGCAACCACGGTAAACTTTACATATGAATTTTTTAAGATTTTTTTGCTGTTGAGCAGTTTTCTCTACCCTATATACATTTTTTGTAATATAAAAATTTTGTTTATTTAATAGAGTTTCTTTAGAAAGTACTCTTAATCGTTCTAACTCATCAAAAAAATCATTATCCATAAGGAATTCTACACAGGTTAATTCCATGAGATTTTAGTAACTAAAAAATTTTTTTAATATATACATCTATCCATATATCTTTATACACGTTTATTAATTTATTTAGATCATGTATGCTGAAGATGTTGCATTAGAAAGTAGATCATCTCAAGTAGTAGTTGCTGTTGATAGAATATTTAGTAATACTACAAAACTTTCTGGGGTAATTTTTGTTCATTTAATATGACAATTATCATAATAGTCATTAATATTATTCTTATATTTATTATTAGACTGCTATCGTAGATTTTGTTAGCTCATTGAGTAGTGTGTCTTGGGAAGAAATCCAATCGTCGTCGATGGCAGAACACCCACGTATATTCAGTTTACAAAAGATTGTGGAAATTTCCTATTATAATATGGGTCGTATTAGAATGGAATGGTCAAATGTTTGGGCCATTCTTGGTGAACATTTTAATCAAGTAATTCATAAATTCAAATATTAAATTACATGCAATATTAATATATCCAATAATCCTTATTATTTATTATAAAGAACATCATTTGTTTATTTAAATAATGTTTATATAGGTTGGATGTCACCCTAATATTAATATTGGATTTTTTGCTGTTGACTCATTACGACAACTTGCAATGCAATTTTTACATAAAGATGAACTACCACATTTCAAATTTCAAAAAGATTTCTTAAGACCTTTTGGTTATATTTTAGCAAACAATTCAAATATTTCAATAAAAGATATGGTAGTGCTATTATTGCTTTGTCGTTTTCTCTTCATTCATCTCCTTATAAGAAACAGTGATAATAAAAATTAATTCTCATTTTTTTTATAAAGATATTAAGATGCATTCAACAAATGATCCAGGCAAGATCTCATAATATCAAATCTGGTTGGAAATCTATATTTGGAGTTCTTACAGCTGCTGCAAAAGAACCTCACGGTAATTAATTTTATTAAACTTATCATCTTATTCTTCTGTCTGTTTGCTATAAAGAAGATCTTCACTTAGAAATATCATTATCAAGCTGTAATACAATAACACAATAAATTTCCTTCCTCATTCAAAAAATATATATTAATTAGAGAGTATCGTGGTTATGGCTTTTGATCTGACTAGATTGGTAATCAAAGACCATTTCGATAAAATTGTATCAAACAGTACATATCCTGATCTTATGGTTTGCCTTAGTGAATTTTGTAAGAATAAACGATTTCAAAAGACAAGGTAATTTTTTTAATACTTAAACACAAGAAAAAAATTACTTATATTTCTATATATTATATATAACATCTAAATGTTTAACCGATCAATATTAATTTGTTATGTATTAAATCTTTATAACAAAAGTCTTCAAGCAAACGAACTCATATGTCAATCAATACCTAAAATGATTGAGGATCCACATTACCAATTAAATGGTCAAGCTAGTGTTAAATCAATTACCAATGATGATCCATTATTTAAATTTTGGTATCCTTTATTGTTTGGATTTCATGACATCATAATGAATGGGGAAGATTTAGAAGTTAGAACAAGGTGTTTGTTTTGCTTTGTTATGTTTTATAGGATGAAAGATAAAATGGTGTTACTTGATATATTTATATTGATTTTTTGTTAATAGAGCCCTAAATTCAATGTTTGATACTCTTAAGAAATATGGTTCAACGTTTTCTTTAGAATTTTGGGATGTCATATGTCGACAAATCCTTTTTCCAATTTTTGGAATTCTGAAGTCAAAATCGGATATTACAAAGTTAACAAATCATGAAGACACAAGTGTATGGCTGTCCACAACAATGGTACAAGCACTTCGTAATATGATTGATTTATTTACATTTTATTTTGATATCCTTGCAATCATGATGGATGGAATCTTGGATTTGTTAAGCTCTTGTATAACCCAAGGTGAATAATTAAAATTTTTTTTAATTTTATGAAAAAACTCTTAATTTTTATTATTATATGTATGTTAAATTTTTTAATATATATTATTATTTTTTAATTGGGAAAAAGATAATGACACATTAGCACGCATTGGCAGTTCATGCTTACAACAATTAATAGAGGCTAATGTGAAAAAATTGCAACTGGATCACTGGGAAAAAATTAGCATAATGTTTGTTAACTTGTTTGAGAATACTACAACATATAAATTGCTTGATGAGGATCATTATTTCATCAAGGCAGCTAATAAAATTTCAGAGAAAACTAATGGTGATATTAATTTATATCCAGGTAAATTGTTTTTATAAAAAAAAAAATTATTATTATTATTGACATTATGAAGATATTATTTATTTGATTATTTTCATAATCGAAAACTGTATAGAAGATAATAAGGCTGGTTTCAATGTGTTTCCTTCCGAAGTTGATTTGCATACAAAATCAATGATCGAACATAATTACAATGATGATGATGAGGAGAGTGATGATTATGAAAATTTTTCTAATATAACGAGTTCAACTGTACCAAGGACTCAAGAATTTAATGGAATCATTGTAAATTGTTTATTGCAAATACTTCTTATCGATACTATTGATGAACTATTGAACAACGTAATTGTGTATGAATCAATGCCAGCAATTCACCTATTGATAATTTGTGAATGTTTAGAAAAATCATATTTATTTGCACAAAAATTTAATGATAATAGAGATTTAAGGGTTGCTCTATGGAAAATAGGTAAGCATTCTAGTTGTTAATGATAATGAAACTAAAAAAACCTTTTTTTAATCCAATTATCTCTATTTTATAGGGTTCACAAAACAGTTACCAAATTTATTGAGACAAGAAACAAGCAGTGCTTCTACATATTTTAAGCTATTAGTAAAAATGTATTTTGATATATCAAAAGATCGTCAAGAAAAAAGAACAGAAGTTCAAGAAAAATTAATATTGTTAGTATATACTATTTGTTCATCTTTTACAAATTAATAATAATAATAATATAATATTTTTTTAATTAGATTTTGTGTACAAGTATTTGAACATTATAATTCATTTAATCCTGAATCACAAAAAAGAAACATCAATGCTTGGACACCAATAATAACTGAAATTTTAAATGTTTTTAATAATCTAAAAGACAATGATGTGAGTATATATTTTTGATTTTAATTTTTCCATTTTAATAATAACTTTTACTAAATACTAAAACTTTCTTGTTACAGTTTCTAAAATTTGCACCAGTAATTTATATTGAGGCAATTAATTTACTATCAAATAATCTAAAAATAATGGATTTACGATTATCATTACGACATTTCCTTATAAGATCTGGAATAATGTATAATATAATCAAACAGGATAAGAATCACAAATTATAAATCAATAACAAATAATAATGATAACAGATAATGATAATAACAAATAATAATAATTTGTAGATTTAATTTATTTATTTTTTGTTTTTATGTATTTGTTGTATTTTTATTTATATAACTAGGATTCAATGTGAAAAATGACTTTAAAAATAAAATTATATTCATCAATATAAAACCTTTTCATTTGTTTATTCAGCTATTTATTTCAATCATAATTTGCCTCCCCATTAAAATAGTTTCTTAAACTTTATCTAAGTTAAAATTACATCAGTTAAGTTTGGATGGAAAGTATGTGTTCATTTTGTTATAAAAAACCTTGTCAATCTTGGCCAAAGAAAAACAAATAAGGAAATATCTTGCATAAAAAACATCAACCATTCTTTATATATATGTATATTACCTTTAGTTTTACAAATATATTCAAAGTTTTAATTGAATTTAATTGGATAGAATTAAGAGTGGGTTATTATTTTTTGGTATATATTTATATAATAACACTACTAAAATTTGGACTGGTCGGTCCGGACCTGCGGACTTTTCCATCCCTAGTTGTGTGACCTATATTATTAATAATGAGTAAAAAGTAACGATTTACAGTTGTACAATTCATTAAATCTAAAATAATATATTCAAATCAGTTCAAATTGAATTGAATTGAATCAAAGTACAATTCGATTTGATTCAAATTCAATTTGAATGAAATGAATCAAAAATTAAGTGATTTGATTCGATTTGAATTTGAATCAAAAATTAAGTGATTTGATTCAATTCGAATTTGAATCAGTTCAAATTGGTTCAAATTTCATTGATTCATTCAGAGCCTTAATCTGATTTAACCTTCTAACTATGAAATAATACTTTCCTGGTATAATTTTTGGATTGATCCAAAGGTCTTAGGAAACTTTGGGGAAAAAAGATATATAGGGGGATAGATTATATCATATATTGATTTATGCCTTGGAATTTTATGATTTTATTAATTTTGATGTTTTTAGATGACTTGGAATAGTATTTGTATATTTTTGGTCTTAAGGCTGGTATTATTTTGATCTTAAGAGATATTATATATTTAGGACCATTTTTTAGTATTGGATTTAACTTTTTTTTGCATTTTGGAGCCAATGCAGTGGCGATACCTTGATGAGAGAAAATCAAATATTTCATCTGCTCATCCTATGATGACACCATTAATGAATTCTTTAAATTGACTATATCATAATCTTGTATTTTTTGCTGTATTTTGTGGTTTTACTACATTAACATATTTGATGACACTACATGTTCTGCTCCACGTTTTAATTTCAACAAGACATTTATATAAAATAATAAAGATACATACACATCAAGACATTTATAAAATAATAAAAAGCAAATACGCAAAAATAAAAAATAGTGACCTCTTGCCATCAATAAACAGTACTTTGTCTTCTTTAAGAGAACCAATCTTTGTACAACCCATACGCGCATAATAAAAGTTTGTGTGCACACGCGTTTGTCGATCAGACAGATAACAATACAGTCAGGTATTTTACCCAATATGGAAATCGATTTTGGGAAAATTCGAACCCCCCTCGTCGATCAATTCATATGTGTTGCAAATGAGTTTACGTGATGCTTCCACAATATGTAAACAAAAAAATTTTTTAAAAAAATCCAAATTATAATAATCGAAATAAATACTATTCAATTTTCTCTTTCATAATCACAATAATCACTAATAATCAGTCAAATTGCTCAAAGTATGTTGTTTTTAAAATCAAAGAAAGTTATGCACTAGGAATTTGTTTTTTTAAAAATATTATTTAATTTTTTTTGGAAAAACACAAAAACCAACTGTTAACACCTTATGCTGTTTATTTACCACACTTACTTAACAATATTTTAAAGGCTGGGTCACTGAGTCCAAGATTTCAAAAAATAACTGAGTTAAAAAAGGGGAATTTCGTTAAAAGCCTTGTAACTAGAGGTTGGAACCGGTTTGGGTACAATCGAATTAAAACCGGTTCCTATTTTTCATATTCGATAAACCAGATATAATAAAACCGGTTTTTATTATTAAACTTTGTGTAACAAGGTTGGGTGAAGAAAATATTTTGGAGTGTAAAAAGTATTTCGCCAAATGGGGCACATATGATGAAACATGACGAAAGTGACGAAATGTGAAAAGGGTAAAGTCAAAAGTCAAATTATGATAAAGATGACAAAAATATAAAAATCAATTTTATTTAGATTTAATTAAAAACAAAAATTTAATTTTAAACATTTTTTTTAGATCACAAATCATGTTTCTTAGTTGGATACTTAATTTTGTATGCAAAGTTTAGTAGGAATTGCTGCTTCACATCTATTGCTGGTTTCAAAATCTGTAGAATCATCTGATGATTCTGATTGTTGAATTTATTAAATATTATTCGCTAAAAAAAAAAATAAAAATAATGACAAATATAAAATAAAAGAAAATTAATTATACACGGGATTCATTGTCAGAGATAGGTTTATTATCATTATGAAAATATAAAATTCGAAGACAAGGACAAAGACAAGGACAAGATTAAGATTAAGGTTGTTTATTATGAATTAACTATTGATTTTCTATTTTTTTTAGGTAAGAAAATTACAACATTATCTATACATGTTAAAGGTTTAATCATCTAGTTCCTCAATTTATAAAAACCCTTGATTTGATCTAATTAAAGTATCCCTTAAAATAAACAACCATTTCTTTTGAAAATAATTAAAGAAATGTTACTTTCTTGGTAATTCCTGTGAGTTAATTATTTTATTGATTTAATTTCCGTGTTGATTTTCTCCATCTTTTCGTGCAACTTTTCCAAATTCCCGTGGTCCTTAAATCACTATTTTCGCAATATGTAAATGTGAATGTGCATAAAACATTCACTGTTACCAAGTTGTAAAGAATCGCTTTTCGAAACAAATTGAACACTCTTACAAACAGACAAGTTGTCTTTTATTATTTTAAAAATACTATTGTACAAATAATTTTATGTCTGAATGTTTCTAACTTTTGCTTTCATTTGATATATTCCCACAAAATTAAACCGGTTGCCCGACTAAAACCGGTTCTGATTTTGAAAAGGTGATTAAAACCGGTTCCTGAAAATAAAACCGGTTCCAACCTCTATTTATTATTAATATTTTTATTTCAAAAAAACGAAAAGATCTGCACAGATCTTTTCATGACGTTAATAATTACAGGGTATTATCCCCGGCTGTATTTAGCCAATCTATAGTTTTTCATAACGTCGATCATTACAGTATTTAGTATTTCCATATCGAGTAAAATACTGCAATAACTTTCTTTTTTTTTAAAAAAAATCATAAAGGTTAATCATAACATATATATAATCCAGTCAATACAAATGAGTAAGTAATAATAATAACAGTAGTTGAGTACAATAAACTTTTATGTTAATTTAAAAAATGATATTTTTTTTCCATCAATATAAGTGGAAGACTCAAACCTTGATACAGATGGGGATAAATATTTATGTTATTTTTTAGAAACTACACCTAAAAAATGGTCTTGGGTTGGGTTTCTCAAGTACCTTGATAATAATTCCCTTTCGAAAGGAGAAAATTCTGATAATGGAATGTACTGCATCTATTTGAGACGATTGTCAAGTAATGCAAATTTATCTAAACTTATTCAAGACACTGCTGCAAAAAAAAATTCAGATGTTCAAATTAAAGTTAAGTTTGTTTCAAATTAATTGAATTTTTAATCCTGCGATATGATTATGCTTGGACCAGATAAATATACCCAAAACTTTATGATGGGTATATATAGATCAGGAAAACTGATCTGGACTTATTATTATGTGTTGACACATTGGGTTTTAGGGTATCATATACCGAACTTTTATGAGATATGCTTCTTGTGAGAGAGTTTAACTAGGTGTTATATACTGAATTTTCATGAGGGAGGACATCTGTGAGATGTTTATTCTTGCAGACGCTCCTTGTGAGAAAGTTAAGCTAGGTGGGCATACCAAACCCCCAGGTCCATTATAAACAGTGTTGTATGGAAACAGATGACCCGGGAAGAAGTAGTCCCTTTTCATGAGCTGGTGCTTTTTGAATCTCGGGCAATGTTCATGTGTTCAAAAAGATTAGACAGATGCAACACTGAATATTATGATTTAAATGCAAATAATTTCTTCAAATTTATTCATTTATTGAGCGTGTTCATTTATCTCACATTATTTTTTTTTAAAAAAAGAAACAACGTCAAAATGCTCAAAAATATTGGAAAGAAAGACTTGGAAAAGAAAATAAATGTGATGTAATAGAAATATTTGAATGCGACATGTTTGAATAACAAATTGATGGATTTTCATCAACATCTAGGGACACAATAAAGAAGTTTGAAGATGTTATTCGTGAAAGTAGAATGGGAAAATTTTATAAACACAAAGAGTAATGGCACTTTATTCCTCATCTTTACTCAAATTTTCAATATTAACTTTTTTAACCCATAGTCTCTATAAACGGCGTATATTGTTTTTGAATGGTAATGAGCTTGACTTTGTTACTCAAGAAATTATTGAAAATGAAAAAAGGATAGGGATTCCAGCTCTTCCATCCCGAATAAAAAATTTAATACATAATCTAAATGCATTAAATGAATATGGTTCTTGGAAAGATTTGGAAAACTTCTGATGTATGAATATTTTGACTTTGTAAAGATGTTATTCCCAGACCAATCTGAAAAGGAGAAGAAATTTATCGAAGGACTTTTTCATATTATGTTACATTTGTAACTATTTTTAATATAATTCGATTTTGTGATTTTGTGAAAAAGTTTATATATCTGTGAACAATAACCACAATATTCAATATTTTTAACAGTGCGTCATTATTTTCAAAAAACGCATTAATATTGGACACTGAGCTGGATGTCGGTGTTACTTACATTTACAAACCGTTAGACATAATAAGAAATTGGGCAGATGTGAATATGTATGTAGTAGGATTTTTTTTTGCTTTGTTTTTTAAATTTCACATTTTTTTTTTTTGTAATAATAAGGGGTGAAAGGAATTCAAGGGCTGTTCAACACCGCAGGGAAATTTGTTCAAATGAAGATGAATCAAGAATGATGATGGACGTTGGCACAACAATAGATGGGTGGGAAATCTTTGCTCATGAAAACTGTTTTGTTCAGCCATCAACAAGTAAGAAAGTGTATAAAGACAGACATAAAACTGCGATCTATAATCGTGATGAATTATTTGTTTACTGGAAACATGCACACCAGCAAATCCCATTTCAATTTGAATAGCTCACTAAAGACTAGTGCTGTAAATTGTGATGATGGTAGTAATTGTATTTACGGCATATAAAAAGTGGTTGCAATTACCTTTGTGACCACTTTTGCAACCATACTTTTTCCTTTTTTGGATTACAGCACTAGTCTTTATAGCTCACTAATTGTCTCTCAAAGGTTCAGAGTTGGGGTCTTGTATCTTTGGGTGATAATGAAGGACATAAAGGACTGCACTGGGAGCTTTTTACTATGCGACAGCCACACCCCAGAGTTTTTTATTGGACTCAAGTTTTGAATACGCCATTACCATCACAAAATTCTAAAAAGAGTTTTCTAACATTTACACTGCCTTTGGAAACTGTTTTTACCTTAGCAGTAAGTACAATTGACCAAATTTATAAATGATTGACTTGTATTGATGAAAGTATTTTTATATATATAGCTTGGGTTAGAAGAGACATCAGAAAATATTTGTAAAGTGAATCAAACCATCGTGGAAATACGTTTTGGTGATGCCTTTTCTTTCTCCAAGTCCAAATACAAAAGAATATGTTTTTGTAATGAGATATGCAGCTGAAGGAGATTTTAAAAAATATTTAAAATCAAATTATACAGGATGGAATGATAAAATTGAAAAACTTTATAATATTATCTCAGGTTTAAACACACTTCATCAAGAAAAACTTATACATAATGATCTTCACAGTGGTAATATTTTATATTTTGAATATTTATCTGAGACAATGATTGCAGATTTAGGGTTATCAAGCCCAGTTGATCAAGAAACATCAAGCAAAAATGATATATTTGGAGTACTGCCATATATTGCACCAGAGGTATTAAATAAAAAACCTTGTACACAAAAATCTGACATCTATAGTTTTGGGATTTTAATGTCAGAAACATCAACACATCAACAGCCATTCAAAGATCAACCACATGATATAGATCTTGCTTTCAAGATCTGTGGTGGCTTAAGGCCTAGTTTTTCAGATAATACTCCAGAATGTTATATTAAGTTAGCATACAAATGCACAGATGCTGATCCTGAAAAAAGACCAACAGCAGATGAAATTTTAAAAATTATTACTTTTTGGAAAGATGCAATTGATATTTATAAATCTATTATTCTAGTTATTCTGAAGAACAGCTTGATGAATTAGAAGAAGTAAAAAAAATATTTTGGGAAGCAGATAAAAAACCTTTTAATCCTTCAACAATTATGGCACATGTTCATCCAAATGCTGTTTATACAAGTAGATTATTGAATTTTACAAATCTTCCTCAACCTTTAAATTCCAACAAAGTTACAATTATTAGTAATAATAATGGTAATTATCTAATTTATTGTTATATATTTAATCTTATTATTTATTATTAATGATATTTTAAATAAACATTATAGAATCTAAACAAATTGAATTAACTATGTCAGAATCTAAACAAATTGAATTAACTATACCAGAATAAATTTTATTTATCTGATTATTGAAATTTTCACATTAGTTTTTTTATTATTATCAAATAAATTTTTTTAATGATTATTTATCTATTTTAATTAAAGCAAACCTTCCTTGTGTCACAGATTAAATTTGGGAGAGTGTATTTTTAATTGGTGATAACAATTATTTTTGTTTTGTGTGGATCAGAATGAATAGGTTATCAATGAATTGATTTTGGATTAGCGAATAATTTTGTTTAAAGAAGATAAAAGTTTTAAATAAAATAAAATATTTATTATTTTATTTATTGAGTTTTTCTTAGTCGAAACTAATTGTTAACTTGTTAGAAAGCTACTTTACAAGTACATTGAATTCAAGCTCCTTATATACAATTCAATTAATTAGTAATTCTAATATTTCAAAATTGAAATTTCTGTTCAATATTGAAAAGTTATTTCAACATTGTAATAATATTTCAAAATTGTAACAATATTTCAAAATTGTGCCGATATTTCAAAATTGAAATGATATTTCAAAATTGCGCTAATATTTCAAAATTGAAATATTGGAAAGGTGATTCTTCCTTAATAAAGTTAAATAAATTACGACGTTATACAAATAATTAATAGAAATAAAAATAAAATAAAAATAAAACATATTACAAAAATAGATGTAATACAGATAAAATAATTATAAAAATAGAAATAAATAAAATAAAATAATAATAAAAATTAAGAATTTCGGGATTAGTTAAATTCGGCCAAAAGAGCATCCGGTAACACAAGTAAGATTCATGGATTATTATACAGTCAAGTATTTTACCAAATTTGGAAATCGAATCTAGAAAAATTGGAACTCCCTTGTTGATCAATTCATATCAGTCAGACAGGATTTCACACTTACTGATTTTACTACGGTGCAGATCATCTATAATCATTAATTGCTTATAGTAACAATTGGTCAACTTCAAAATACTAAAACAAAA